TAGGTGGCCTGAGAGTGGATGGGGTGGGTTGTGCACACTCTCCAGGGCGGGCACGGGGTGGTTCCCTCACACCACCCCCCCATGCGCCATCCACCACAGGGTGTCGAGCCTTAGAGGAAATATCAAACCCTCTTCTGGAAAGCACCACAGATGTGGCGCAGAAGGTTCCCTCAGACGTGGGTGAAACGTGGCTGGGCTGGCGCTCCTGTCTGCGAAGAGCAGGGCGGGTGTCCAGGGCACCCACTCCCCACCCACAGGCTGTGCCATCCCAGGAGTCACCCCCACCTGAGCTCGGAGTCCCCGACCGCAGAGTGGGACACCCAACACCCCTCTGTTGAGCTGTGAGAGTAGAATGAGGAAAAGACGGGGACCCTCACCCCCCAAACCTGGCCCCTGCTGTGCTGCCCTCTCACCACGCAGGGCCCTGGGCTGACGGCCTTGTGTGTCATCAGGACCCAGGTTACAGGTGAAGAGACTGAGGGCTTCCCTCGGGCCAGGGGCAGAGCCCCATGCCCATCCCCAGGCAGGCTGCTCCACTGGCCTCTTGCAGGCGCTGGGCGCCGGGAGGGTCAGCCCAGGTTGACCCAGGTATGACAGGCTACGCAGGCAGCTCCACTGTGCGCCGGAAGACAGCCGGAGGATGGGGCCGTGGGCCACACAGCCAGGTCCCCTGCTGCTGCTCAGGCCTCCTCTGCAGCCCCCCACCTCCTCCCGCCCCCTCCTCCTCCTCTGCCTCCCACGTGCACTTTCTCTCCCTCTCTCTGTCTCTCTCACACACACTCAGGCGCGCCTCGCCCACCTTCCTTCCCACAGCCCTTTGCACACCTCCCCTCTCCTCCCTCCCCTCCTTCACTCACCTGCTCACCTGCTCACCTCCTCACCTCCAGGAACACTGCCTCAAGCTTTCTCTGTGCCTGCAGGCTCCCCTGGCCTGTGCTCGCCCACCCCACTCCAGCTCTCTCCTGCACACAGAGAATGCCCTCCCTGGTCCTGGCTCTCCACCTGGCCTCCTCACCCCCACAAGTCACCTTGGGTCACTCTGCCACATGCTTGCTCCTGCCTCTCCTCCCTCCCTCGCACCCCTGTTACATCTGAGGGACGGGGCAGCGAAGCCATGCAGGCCCGGGGTCCCCCGCGGGGCAGCTGTCCCCCTCTGTCACCTCCTGGGCTGCGTGGGGATAGATGTGATGATGAACAGGCCAGCGTTAATCCCCACAGGCCCTGCCTGCAGCCCCCCCCTTGGGACCCTTTGGCACTGGGCAGCAGGGTGGCCCTCGGCAGCAGTGCCAACCTCACCCAGCCCCCATCCCTGTCCTCTAGCATGACCCTTATGAAGCCACGTACACGGGGTCCACGGGCTGGACCTCGGGAGCCGCCAGAACTGATGCCCTCCATCTCGTGGGCTTTGAGTGGGCTCCGAGGGGCCTAATGTTGGGCCAGTGGCTTCCTTCCGTGAGATCAGCTCTCCTCCCTCCTCTCCTCGCTGGCCTGAGCCACTGGTGTAGGCGGAGGGCACTCCCTGTCATGAGCTGTCTGAGGGTCACACATTGGGTGGTGTCTCCTGTTTGCTGAAATGGCCGGACGCCTGGACCCTGAGGGGCAGCCCCAGGAGCCCTGGGCGTGGGCTTCAGTGACTTTGACGCCAGATCTTCTCTGGTTCTGGGCTGTTTTGAGGCTTAGCCGACTCCCTGCTCCCACACTGCGGGGGTCACACTGTAGTGAAGTCTCACAGGTCATAACTTAGGGGGACATTCCAGCCAACCCCGCCTTCCCCGGGAAGAGCTGATGCTGGAGGAGAGAAGTGGGGGCTCGTGCAGGCGGGCAGTCCGGAAGCACAGCTCAGGAGAGGGGAGCGCAGGGAGCTCTCTCCCGCCCAGCAGCGCGGCGGGGCCTCCGCACACCCAGAGCACCTCCAGCCCTTGCGCCTCCACACGCGTGTCGTCTAATTGTCTCAACCACAAACCGGTCTATTCACACGAACTAAGGCTTTAGAGGCGGAATTTTAGAACAGAAAAGAATAGAGCCAGAAAATGCATTAGAATTCTCCGCCCACCCTCCCTTCTCCTCCAGAGGTTAGACGAATCTCTTAAAAAGGCAGGACTGTTTCACTGTCCCCCCGGGGCCCACCCCCACCGCGCTCCCCCTCCCCTCGCCGCTGGCCTGTCCCGCCTCAGTGTGCAGAGGGGTGCTGGGCAAGGTGGCTGCATGCATTTCTGTCCTCTGAGGGTGGTTGTGGCTGCATGCGACCCTTCCACAGCGTTCATTCATTCATTCATTCAGTAAATACTTAGTGAGCACCTAGTGGGGCAGGTACCTTCTGAACCTGCAGGTCTGGCCGTGAATAAGAGAAGGTCCAGGCCCTCCAGTCCATTCTGTTTAGAAAGCATTTGCTGCATCTCACCGCGGGCCGGGAGCACCCTCCCCCAGGCCAGGGGCTCGGCTGGTCAGGTTCTGCTTGGCGGCGGCTGAGGGTCCACTTACCCCACAGGAGGCCAAGCCAGGCCCCGGGGACTGGAGACAAGACACGCCTGCCCCACGAGCAGGCACAGGCGGACGCTGGTCCCCGGTGACTAGCGCTGTGAAGCGGGCCCAGAGGTGTCTCCCGCCGGCCCCCAGCTCGCATCTCTGCCCTTCCCCACAGAGCCTGGGCCCGGAGCCTGGCCGCCATGGGCTGCATCCACAGGCCCCGTGCCATCTGGCTTCTCGTTGGGTTTAACCGATGGCGACCCTAGAAGGAGACCTGGAGGCAGGATGGACAGAGGCCGGGGTGTTTATTCCGCGCCCCTCCCTGTCCTCTCAGCTGACTCTGTCCCTTTGGGCACAGCTCCCATCAGCCAGCCCTTCACCCAGGTCTCTCGCTCCCTCTCTGTCTCTGTCTGTCTCTCTCTGCTCTCTGTCTGTCTCTGCCTCTTGCTCCATAGCTCTGTCTCTCTCCTTCCCTTCTTTCTCTCTCTCCCCCCCCCTCCCCTCCTGTGACCCTTCCCTCCTCTTGCCCCTCAGGCCTGGGAGTGGTAACAAAATCTCCAAATGTACCAGTCCCAAGACACGGCACTTTCTCTGTAATTCCTTTAGAACCTTCCAGAACATTAGTGAGTAGCCCTTTATGGAGCTCTTCTCCAATCACCCAGTTGGCGTGTGCCCTATGCTTCCTGCTGGGGCCCCGGGGAGCCCTGCCTGGCTCCGCAGAAGAGCCAGTTTATGGAGGAGGTTTTCCATCCTCATTGTCCCCGAACACCCTCCCACTGATCTCTGAACACAGGGTCAGAGAAAGCAGTTTGGGGGTCAAGGGGAGGTGGCAGCAACTTGAACACTGCAGACTGTGGGCTCTGGCAGAAGGCCAGCCTCATGGGCGCACGGCCATCTCCAGGGGCCGCACAGGCTGGGCAGGGGAGCCCTGAAGCCGCTCGTGGGCAGGAACCAAGAGGGAACTCTTGGCCCAAACTTGCCAGGCCCCAAGCCTAGTAAAAGGTTCTCTCTGTGGGGGATCAGAACTCCAAGGGGCAGACTTATCAGTGAGAAGGGAGGCAGCAGAGTCCCTCATTTCATGGGCCGTGTTGTTACATTAGGAGATGGTTAGACGTCACCCCACCCTCTGCCCTCTGCTGGGGAGACCCCTCCCCTTGAGCAGTTTCAGTAGCCGGGCAGCAGAGGGGCCTCCCACCGCACACCCCGCCCCTCACCGTCTAGAAGGGACCGACACTAAGAGATGGTCCACAGGCGAGGCGACAGTGTGGCTTCTAATCACAACCTGTCCATTTGCCTGTGGGCCCTGGGGCCGACTTCCCCTGGCCTCCCATGGAGATGCTACAGGCTAGGGCCTCGGGTACCAGGCTCTCCTGGGGTCACTTTATCAGCCCGAGCTTTCCCACAAGGAGGAAACACGTCACAAGGAGAAGTGTCACTTTCAGCCTGCAACACAGCATCACCCAGGGCCCCTGAGCACCTGACCCTGCACAGCCTGGTGCTGGACTGGACAGCTTCTCCTGGTCTATCCAGGTGGGCCTCTGCCCTGAGCAGCTCTGGCTCCTCTACGCTGTGTTATTCTCGTAACTCAGGTGACATGGAAGATGTGGCACATGCAGGTAACCCTTGTAAACGTAGGGTCCACATGGCCCTGTCTCAGGCAGTGACACCATCAAGAAGCACAGATCAGCTTCCAAAAGGGAATTCCGGTCTGTGTGCACCTCTTCTGAAGAACATTGTGGGGAGCTGCTCCCGGACCCTCAGTATTGCTTCCTAGAATCCACCCCCCTCCTTGGTTAGTTTGCCCCCACCCAACCTGCCCCAGGGCCTCTCCTAGGCCAACCCCCAGCCCCTTCTCTAGGCCCAGGCCCCTGTGGCTGGTATTCTTTCCCTCCCAGCTCTGACTGTGTAGGTGAACTTACCCTTCTCTCATGCAACAGGAAGCCCTCCTCCTTAGGAGAGGAGGGAGAAGAGAAACGGAGTGCATGGACACATGTAAAATTCTCTTTAGCAGGGCGGGATGATCACCTGAACCTCAGCGGTGTGCAGAGAGCATTCATTTAGTCACTCAATTACTCAGAGAGCAGGGGGGTCCTGGGTCCCTCCTGGGAAGGGCAGGTCTGGTTGATTCAGGGGCCTGCTCTTTGTCAGCCACAGAGTTTATTTTCCAGCGTCTCCTGTGTTTATTTCCCCTTTCTTTTCCCTCTGTTGTTGCCTAGTGTTGTTAAAAGTCCAGGGCTCTCTCTCCTGGGCTAAAGGGAAAGTACAGGGGGATATTTTGATGATGTTTGGGGCAGAGCATTAAAGGGGTCTCAGCTCCTGGCCCGAAGTCAGTGTGCTGCTGGCAGCTGATATGTGAGGGAGGACCAGAGACCCCAAGAGACAGATGGAACAGAAGCAGGGTGGCCCCACGTCTCCTCACACGGGCTCCTCTCCAGGGAGCGATGGCCCTGCAGCCCCCAGGGTTATTTCTGAGAAGGGATGGGTTTCTTTCTTGCGTGGTCCTCCCCGCCTGACGCCTCTCCTTCTCCCGCCAGTGTCATCATGACCGGGGCCTACAACAACTTCTTCCGCATGTTTGACCGGAACACCAAGCGCGACGTGACCCTGGAGGCCTCCCGGGAGAGCAGCAAGCCGCGGGCCGTGCTCAAGCCGCGGCGCGTGTGCGTGGGCGGCAAGCGCAGGCGGGACGACATCAGCGTGGACAGCTTGGACTTCACCAAGAAGATCCTGCACACGGCCTGGCACCCGGCCGAGAACATCATCGCCATCGCGGCCACCAACAACCTCTACATCTTCCAGGACAAGGTGAACTCCGAGATGCACTAGGGGCACGGAGCCCCGTCCCGCCCGCCTGTGGCAGTGTCCGCGACACGCCGGTCAGACAGCAACTCGAGGAAAGGAGGAAGATGGCAGCGGCACCAAGGACAGCCGCAGGAGTGGCCTGGCCGGGCAGTCGGGAACTTGGGCCCCGCACCTCCCCAGCTGCCCTAGGCCAGACCGCCTTGGCCGGTAATCGTTTAAAGAAAGGAAAACCGAGGATTCACAGCCACAAATCGTGAAATGGACGTGATTGTCGGCCTTGAAGTTCAGGGTTCTTTCCCGTACTTGACCTGCCGTGGGTCTTTACCACATTAGTAGGGTTTTTACATCTCCGGGTTAATTTTTCACTCCAGCAGTTCCTCTCCGGGGAAGCGGGAGCCCACGGGAGCTGTTTCTCTAGCGCGCCTCCCAGATCGGGGCTCCGGGGACAGATAATGAAGCGTTTTCAAACAAGCCAGCCAGGATTCTTTTGGTTATAAAGGGAGCGATTTCCACTGTCTCCTTGCGGAGGGTCTCGCCTTTGTCTTGGGTCGTGAATTCCTGCTGAGAATTTGCGGATGCAAGCTCCTCCTCTAGGTTCTTTGAATGTCTTTCCATATCTCAGGTCCCTGACGGTTTCCTGAGAGGGAGGGGGTGAGGTCCACCCACCTGTGTGCCTGTCGTTCTCCCACTTACCCACCTCGCCGCTCGCGGGCTGTGTGCCAGGCGTGGTGCTCAGCCCCTTAGGCGCATTGATTCAGTCCCTCCACCCGCTCTGTGGGGCGCTCCTGTCATCCTCCAGCGGACACTGGGCACCTCGTGGGAGTGCCTGCTGGTTCTGTCCGTGACCTTTCTGAATCCTCAACATGACCCTGTGAGGTGGGCATCCAGTCATTCCGTCCATAAACACCAACTGCTCACCGAGTGCCAGGTGCCAGGGATTGAAAGGTGAATAATTGATCATTCCCTTTGAACACACGGGGAAACCGAGGCCCAAGAAACTTGCTCAAGGTGTGCACCAGCCAGTGGTGGGGTCAGGAATCCCGCCCAGGTCTTCGCACAGGCGCCTTCCGATCCACCTCGTTGGTGGCTCATATTCAAGTGACAGTCTAGCCTGGAAGGTTCTAGAGACGTCTCTTCATCTTGTGAAGCAGAACAGAGTAGGTGGGATGATGACGAGGGTCCCGGGGAGAACCGAGACTCAGAATGGAGAATGGAGAAGACCCGTGGTGCTCCTTGCTGTTGGTAACTTCAGGAGCTGGGCCCTCTCTCCGACTCCTCGCTCCGCCCCACATCTGCCTCCCAGCTCCTCGTTCAGATGCACTGAACTGCCTCCAAAAGAAAATTGCATGATATGACCATTTTAGGGTACCTTTCCTTTCATGATCACACCATCTCGGAGGACGCTTTCCCAAGGGCCACTGTAGTGTCTCCTGCTCTCTCAAGACCAGATCCGCTCACCCCGCCAACCATGCCCACTTGTCTTTGCCGGTGGAATTGCCCCGGAACCACATGGCTTTGCATTTTGATTCCGAAAATCCCGCAGAGGCCCAACCGAATCCAACCTTTTCTAACAAGATGTAACCTCACCCAGGAACTAGACCCACCCGAGATTTTTCTCAATGGATAACAGTAGACTTTTGTGTGTGTCAAAGCACAAAACGCATGTGCGCTCACTTCCAGCCATACGATATTCACGTGAGGAAATGGGTCCATTGAATTTTTTTCTTTTTTAATCGACGTGAATGAAGAATGTTTGTTTATGTATCACTGTAAAATCCAGGTGACCAGGACAGTATTATATGTACATATCTATTCTAATTAAAATTAACAATCACAGGATCGGATTCCTTCTTTTCCCCTTTGGAAAGAGGTTCAAGAATGTGGTCAATTGTATAGAAATCTTTTTGAAGCCAAAATCCCGCTCTGAGGGCCTTACACAATTACTCGGATATTTGGCACAGTCCATCTCCCTTTGTGATTCAGACGCTGAGAGGAAACCTGCATTTGCAGCCAGAAGTCACACCAGATTCAACATTACCATCCACAGAGTATACACCTCACACTGGATTCAAAAGGAGGTCTTAATCTAGTTCCTGGTTCCTTACTTCTGTTTTAAACTTTGGATGTCAAACCAAAAACGGAAAAAATAGGGAAAGAAAGAAAGAAAAAGATCTCAGAAGAAAGGCATGCCTCTGGATCCCCAGAAAAGAACGCTGTCCAAAGCAAATTGTGAATAATAGGATGTGTGTTGAGCGGGGAGGGGCAAAACTAGAAATGGCAGAAGGGCCAGTAAAATCGTCACAAACTTGGCTTCCTTACTCTGTAACTCTTCTGCTCTACTTGAATGTATGGGCGTGCACATCGTCGTCGTGAAGCTGTCGGGTTGCTTTCTTTTCCGTGAGTGCTCTGAGGCCTGAGCTCCTGCTGGGGCGGGCCGTGTGGTGGTGGAGTAGACAGACCCGGTCCTTCTGGACTCTGTAACCCATCGGTGCATTCCTGCTTTCTTTGGTGTCTCACAAATTATCCAACTGTTGAAGAAAATTATAAATATGTTAATACCAGCTTTTTCCAATAAAATAACAAATGTTACATGGAAAGTGAGGCTCAGAATGCTGCTTGTTTCCATGAGGCCGACCCCAGGGCTGGGGGCCCAGCAGGAGGCAGTATGGCGGATGGGGACACACAGGGCAGAGAGAGGGAGGCCGGGCTCACTGGAGGCTTTGCTGCCTCCAGCTCCTAACGCAACCTTTAACCCTTACGAGCTCTGACGTCATCCCCGGGGAAATGGCGCTCATAATATCACCGGCTGTGGGGAGGGGCGAGGTTAAATCCGCTGAATCCCGCACAGCCCGGGCCTGGTGAGGAGGCTCCCGCTCGGTGCTGCTGGTCGTGCTTTGTTTTGTTTGAAGCAGGTGAGCACAGCCCACCATGATTTCCAAATATTCTCCTACTCTCCCTGGATCTTTTTTGACTCTCACATTCAACAGTCCCCGGGGAGCCCAGGCCTCGCCCTTCTGCTTTCAAGGGGGCGTTTTACACTTCAGACCCAGCGGGAGGAAGGCAGAGCTGTTCTGCTGGGTCTGCTGGCCAAGTTCTCCATGAACCACACAGCCCTCAGGACAGAGCACAAAGGAGGAGAAAGCTGCTTCCCGGCTGTGTGACCTTGGACATGTGGCTAACCTCTCTGAACCTCATGTGTAAATAGAGGGCAATGTTGCTCCTTCTCAGCTGCGGTGACCAATGAGATAAAAAATACTTTATTGAACCCGGGTGCCACGGTGTGGGGGACTTTACACGTATGATCTTGTTTAGGCTTCATGGTATCCCTCTTGGGGGGGGGGGTACTATTGTTCTACCCATTTTACACATGGAGAAACTGAGCTTAGAGAGGTTAAATAATTTAACTTGTGCCCAAATTCAGTAGTAAGTGGTAGAGTCTGGATTCAAACGCAGAGGGTCAAAGCGCCAGGCACACGGCAGATGCTCAAAAGATGGTAACAGATATCGTGGTCTCAGCCCCACAAATCCAGCTTCAGCCAGCACTGCCTGAACACCGGCTCTGGGACTCTGCAGGGGTGATTAAGGTCGTGGACCTTGAGATGGGGAGAGTATCCTGGCTTATCCAGTGGGACCAGTCTGTCACATGAGTCCTTGAAAGTGGGGAAACTCTGCTGGCTGTCCTCAGAGGGAGATGCAACAACAGAAAGAGGGTCAGAGAGATGTGACACGAGGACTCGACCTGCCATCCTGGCTCTGAAGACGGAGGAAGGGGCCACGGGCCAAGGAACATGGGCACCTCCAGAAACTATAAAAGGCAAGGGATGGATTCTCCCCTGGAGCCTCCAGAAGGAACACAGCCCTGCTAACGCTTTGATTTTAGCCCAGGGAGACCCATGTTCGACTTCTGACCCACAGACTGTGAGAGAATAAGTGTGTGTTGTTTTAAGCCACGACGTTTGTGGTCATTTGTCGCAGTGGCCCTAGGAAATGAATACACTCGGTACCTTCATTCTGATCTCCCAACCGCTCTTTTCGGCAGATTCCTGCCCCCTTTCACAGATGAGGCCCCTCAGAGAGGTCCAAGCACATGCCTGAGGTTGCACAGCACGTAAGTAGGCAGCGAAGGCAGGATGGGACTCCACGTTGCCCTTCTTGAGGGTGGCCAGGGTGGGACCCTGCAGGGGGCTTCTGTCAGTACTCAGGGGCTTGCAGCCAGATGGTGGCAGAGAGGGGCGGGCAGAGGCCCTAGAGGGCTAGGGACTTGTGGGGAGCTGGGCCTCTGGGCAGGGCGGCCAGGCCAGCTCCCTCTGCGTCAGCACACGTGGACGGGCCCCCAACTCCGTGCCAGGCCCTGGGCTCAGAGCTGTGGGCGGGCCACAGAGGGGAGCATTCGAGCAGGTCACATGAAATAATGCTCAAACTCTGCTTCCCTCCCCGGACCTCTCTCAGCTGCAGACCATCGTCTGCTCAGATGAAAACATAATTGTCATCGTGTCTCTCCCCAGCCCTGGAAGCTCTGAGGCTCCCACATCCCCTGGGCTACATCCATGAGCCTGGCATGGGGGCCACTTGCCCGCCAGCATTCTTTCCCTCCACACTCCGTGTCGTTATTGTACTAAGAGTGGACACTTCTGAGCGGTGCCCCGCACCAGGCACCGGGCTGGAGCTCTGTGTGCATCGTCTCATTTCATCTGCACGGTCTCCCTAACAGAGGATGCTGTGATTTCCTTCACTTTACAAACAAGGAAACTGAGGCACAAAGAGGGGTTGTCTTGCCCAAGGCCACAGCCTTGTGAGTGCTGGAGCCTGGGTCGGACCCCAGGCAGCGTGTCCCCAAGCTGGGTCCTGGGCTCTCCCCACCTGAACCGTTTCAGGTCCCTGCGGGGGATTTCTGGGGGATGTTTCCAGGCCGCTGCTCAGGCTCTTGCTCTGCCTGGAACTGACTTCACAGCCTGGAGCCCCAGGCAGGGCCAGGGCCTGCTGAAGTTCAACCCCTTGATGAAAACTTTAACAAAGGCTTCCCAGCTTCCAGGGGTGGTTTCCTAGCAACTCAGAAGCTTTTACAGCTCAAAATAATTGCCTGAGTCGTGAGTGATTAATTTCCAACAGCCAGGTCCCTTTTTTTAAAAAAACAAAGCCCCATTATCTCTACCTGGATACTGTCAGAATTACACACGGGGCCCACACAGTCAAATGACGTGATGAGTTTCAGAGAGGGACTGAAAATCTGCAAAAGGCAGCAATATTAGGA